GCCATGGCTCGACGTCGTAATAATTATGTACGAAAGTGTATTCTTCAGGTTTATCAGTTCATCGATCTATGGAAGAAAGAATCCAAATACTCATTGATGTTGGAATATAGAATACATGCCAAGTTGGAGATAGCTAAAGGCTTGAGAATTAACAGGAAATAACCTAATTGACGTGAGTCGAGGGCCCGTCCAAGGGCCCCGAAAAATGTTGGGCTTAGATGCTCTCTGGGTAATCTGAATATCTTTAGTGCTGAAATTAAACCTTAAAAATGAGTAGCTATAACAGGAACGATAGAATTTTCGATGATCTGGGCCTGATAAAATATAGAATTGCGAAGGTTTATATTATTATTCGATAAAAAGTTTGGGTTTAATCAAACAAAGCTTGAGATCAGTGGAAAAGCGTAAGATTTTAGAGGAGTGGCTTGAGCTTGAGGTTTGTTCGAAAAACGTGAGGTTCACACCGGATGCGTAAGACTTGGTATGATATTATAGGCCTAATAATATATTGACTATATTTTTGATTTTTTTTTTTTTGTATAGGCCTAATAATGAAATAAAATCAGCTGACCTTTTTTATGAGGGGTAAAACCTTGAATTTTGAAGAAATTAAAGGTCATTAAAAGACACCTCAGAAGTCGGGAAAGCTTATATTTCCGGCCATCTAGGAATCGAAATTTTCCATTTTTGGGTTTATTTGAAAATGAACCCCCCTATTTCAAATCCTGGATCCGCCCCTGGCCGTATACACTGATCATTCATTGTCATTACACCTAAACAACATAATACATATTTACAGCGATATAGACCAATATATAAAGTCACATTTGATGATGTTGCAGGCGTTTATCATCCGAATATCTGAATTATTAGTAGGCCTTTAATGTATACATTATTTTAATCGATTTCAACATACTGTGTATAAATATTTAATAATAGGCCTACTATGATGGATAACCATGTATTTTATTCTTTATTTACTGACATGTTTAAAGTCGGAGGCGGACTTTAAGGTGGGTAGTTATGCAGCCGTCCGGGGCTCATACATTTTTGAACGAATTAAAAGAAAATATTTTGTCAAAAGCGGTTGTATTATTAGATTGCTCGGTAGTAGTAAGTAGGGGCCCATCGCCTTTCAGGGACTCATTTGGACATGGAGGAAGTAAGCGTTTCCCTAGAAAACACAGGCATTACATAACTGGTCAAACCTCCATAGTGGGGCATCCAGGGGCATAATTTAAAGAACCCCTTCTAATAAATCTGCCAAATATTGTGTTTGTGGGATTTTGGTCTATTTGGTTTTTTCGGAAATTATAGAAAATGTTACGTATTTTTAAGGCGTTGTAGGAGAGTGCTGAGTATCAATGTTACTGTAAGTAAAAGTATCTAACACTCTCCAGGGCCCTCTCCAGGGCCCTCTCCAGGGCCCATTTGGACTCGGACTTCGCTCAGAAAGCACATGCGTTACTTAAGGCTTGGTAGTAATGTTTTAGGTAGTAGTAGGAGCGGCCCCGCCATCCGAGAGCTCACGAGTTACGCAAATAGGTCCTGTTTATTTAATATGATATGCCATAATTGGACTTTATGGGACAATACATGAAACACTACACCGTTTCTGATATATAAACTGCAATACATTATTCAGCATCGGAAGAGCTTTCCAACGATACCAAACACGACTACTTTTTGGTGAGTTTATATACTTATTCTTATTTTATACACATTTTAAGTATATTTTGCGGATATTTTAAAACAAATAAACACCTATCTTTGAATTATGTTCCATTCTGGCATGAGTGACAGTAGTTTGTATATGTCTGGTTTGTTGCCTGTATAGAAATTATGATTTTAGACACCAAAATCATATCTGTAGCTTAAATTTAGTTCCAATTATATGCACATTTTAGATAAATTTGGCGGCCATTTTGAAAAATGGCCGCCATTTGTATACCAGGTGAAAAACCAAGTGTCAACAGGGCTTAGTGTGACCAGGACGGATTAATTAGGATATCTGGCTATGTTGACTGCTTCTAACATTTCATTCCCCCTACTTGATTTCTAGGCCTCTTTTTTGATTTTTTTTTCCTAGTCTAAAGAGAAATCTTCCAATGGTATTATTTCTGCAAATTTGAACTCGGCAAAGACCTACAATCATCTTAAATGAATTTAGTATAACCTACCGTTAGTGCTCTGTAATCAATAGGAATCTTAATTATATTGTCAACTCGTCTTAAATACTACCTATCACTCAGAATCTAGAATCAAATAACATGTAATCTAATGTGATTGAAGTAGACTCGGACAAATTATATCAGACACGTAATCGATGTTAAGGTAAACCTAGATGACTACAACATCAATGGCTGACTTACCGTACTAGAAAAAAGAAAGATTAGGTGGACATTGTACTTTTGGTTAAAAATTACAGTAGTGTTAAATTTTGTAACACTTAGGTCTATCAATAGTAGTAAAAACATCGGTTGTGAGTTTAACACAAATAGTGCAGTGCAGTTTTTGAGTAGTAGAGTGACTAGGCCTTTGTCTGGGATGAGTTAAAAACCTGAAAATGAAAATTTCAAATTCAATTTTTTTTATTTCGTGTGGCGAAGCCACATTTATTTGCCACAAATGTATACCAAAATCACATAAGTTAAAAATAATTAAAATAAATAATAAGAAAAATTCAAAATGTACCGGTAATGCTTTGCTATAAGTGCAACATTATAATGAAAATATATTTTTCTGGATTTGAAGTGTCTTGGAGCAGAATTCATCAGTAATGCAACTTAATAGGCGTATTCGACTGGTTCATTTCGTTGACTACGAATTTTCGTTGAGTATTATTTTCATTCGACTGGCTCGTATAGACTTCGTTGACAACGTATAAACCAGTTATTTACGTGACCAAAACAAACATGGCCGATTGGTGAGTTTAGAACATTTGTGTTAATATAATTTAGATTAAATTTCAGGAAAAAAAATCCATACCGCCACAAGCTGAAGCAATCTTAATTACACAGCGTGTATCGCGGTAACTATGCAGCCATTTTGTTTTGTCGAGTATTTACAAGTTTTCTTTTCGACTGGTCGTCTTCGTTAAATAGGATTTTACCGATGCACAGTTGGGCGTGGTTTAACGAAGAACGACCAATGGAATGCGGCCAATATGTTTTGTAATCTCCGTCAAATGAGCCCAGTCGACGGCGCCCGGACAGGACTCAAACCAACTCGTGCTACAACCATCTGGAAATTTTATTCATGGGATATTCTATGTATATTTATCCAGTGGTTCCTAGACATCGTCAATATACATACAGAAAATACTAATATCTGATAGAGATTCGACTGTCAAATAAATACTGAAAAAAGAGCAAAACACATGGTGGGGCTGAGGAGATATACCCTCCAGCTGTGAAAGTCCTTCTCTGTGTCACAGTAAATTTTGATATGTTATGAATCTTTTCAGCCCTATGTTTAAAAGGAATGATAGCTTTTACTTTTCATGTTTCTATACTTTATTTTTCAAGCACCGTATAATCGATTAAATTCTCTAATCCCTCACCGGAGATCTTCCCCTTGGACTTACTGGGGCCCTACTAGGTAGACCTCAAACCCCCAACCAATGCTTCCCCGGGGCCCACGGCCGCTTTCGGCAGCACTGTATTTATCAAAATACTAAAGCAAGGATTTTCTTCTTTTTTTGTACCTGATTGGACATGGAAAGGGAGGGGTAATTAAGACATTGATTTTGTAGGCTATTTGTTGTAACTTTCTTATTTTTTATGTTTTTTAAAGTTTTTATTACGTTTTAGTTTTTTCTTTTTCCTTTGGACGCACCGTTACGTACGTGTGCCACTGTTGTAAAAATGTTGTTTCCAACTGAAGAATATATACCGTACCGTATTTATTACCACCAATATAAAACAATTATCTTTACCCGCTACAGAATAGGACGTGTAACTGATTAAAGTAAATGGTGTATATTAAAATGCTTGTTAGTAGAATAACAACGTTGTATGAACTCCACATAAATATGTAGGCCGAAAAACAATGCCTCGATAGGGTAGGTCTCGTACCGTAATGCTTTAACAATTACAACGGTAAATATATTGACTCTCTTTAGTTGATATTTTAACCATTAACTATAACAGGTTTAATATAACAATGAATGGAACCTTATAAGATTAAGTTTACATTACAGCCACAAACAATTAGCGGGATAATTCATGCGCACTATATTCCCCATTTTATCAACGAATAACATTTCGTTTTTTCCGTCGAATTAAAAAAAAATCTGCAAATCACAATCGAACTATTGGCCTAGAGGAACTAACCACAGGAACGCATATTTACAGTGATCGTATAAACACTTACCTTCCCACAGATATTATATAATAAGCCTTAAACAATGTGTTTTTACAAAGTCAAAAACAAAAATTCCGAGCATAGTTGAACATTCTCGTAATCTTTAAAGACGTAGAAGTATAGTCTTGTTGTCGTTGACTGAAGATAAGGTAACTATTGGAATGAAAGCAATCGTAAAAATCAATGTACATAACTTTTATAATAACAATTGAAATTTTTGAATAATTCCTTGATGATTCATACCATGTTTTGAAGCAATAAAATAGTTGGCCCACTGTTCTACCAACCCGTGGTGATTCTGATAGACAGACGGGGGCCCAGGCCTATTTAAACCTAAATCGGTACTTAAAATGAATAGGTTGCAAAAATCACTATATTGAATTATTATGATGTTGATATTTTGTGACAATAACGCCGTGGTTAGTTGATTCGTTCGTTTGTGTTTTCTTTTCCTTTCCTTTTATTTATTTTTTTTTTTACTGGCGTATACATATTGTTATAGAATATTTTTAAATCAATTTAACTTTCTAAAAAATACATTTGCGATAATGCACAAGCACTTAAATAATAACAGTATAAAGTTATACAAAGGTCATGTAGTAGGCAATCATACGCGACGGAGAAGCTGCTGGTTTATATCTTGTTTGTTTCTCACTTTAAAATAGTAACCCGAAAGATTTTCTCAACATCACGTATAGCATACGGAAACAACGGCGTTATATCTCATCCGAAGAGCGAGGTAACTAGAGTTGCATTCACATTGGATCGGAACTAAACTGATGCGCTGCTGAACACCGGTGTCCCTATACTTACATACTGATCCGAGAGTATGATCGGTTTGTTCGGCTTTCCGAAGCGAAATTCGGATGCGGTGTGAATGCAACTTGAAGTGTTTTATACCCAACGATGTGTCAACATTTTGCCGGTTTCGAAGCAGAGACGAAGGCTTATCATAAATAATCTGTGGCGCCACCACTCTTTTATTACAAAATATGTAAATACGGTACGTAAGGTCAAGTGTTGCCAAACCAAAGCCACACACAAATAACACTCATTTAGGCCTATGTATAAAAAACAATTGGATTAAATTATTTTTCTGTTGCTAATTACAACCTTGTCGCGTTTCTTCAGATGCTTTTACTACATGGCTAATACGAAGATACTTTTTATATAACTTAGATAAACTAGATTTGCGTCATTGTCTACAAGCCGGAACTGATAAAACTTAAAATATCACTGGAATCATCAAAATGTGTACCCATATACATATTTTGCTTACCACCCACATATTTGGAAAAATCCATTTAAGAAAGAAATATTACATGCCTTGAATTTTTTTTTAGGCTTTATACTGTAACCTGTAACTCAGCTCCTTAGATTTTTGCATAAAGTCCCAAAATTGTTTGAATAGGCCTATGCTTTGTATTAATTAATTTATTATATAAATTCAAATTCATCTTTATTCCTATCAATTAAAACATTGTTGGGTACTAGTATTAGACCTACATACCGTACTTAAGAATTAATTTAAAATGTCAATTAGACAAAAATAGAGGCCTAGAAAAACACCAACATCTTTGGGAAAATAAAAGTTATTGCAAAATTCCTAAGAGTAACGAAAACTAATTATATTTATTAATTTTATTTACAAAAATTTCAATTTGAATTGTATTACTGTATATATCAATTATAAAAAAATGTCAATATTAAAAAAGCAAAACAAAGAGGCATAAGAAAAACATTTTTTTGATCTCACCCTATACCGGTATGTTATGAATCGAAACGTCAGACATATACAATAGTATTTCACGTGTAGACCCTACGTCATTTGTTATTATTAATGGCGATAGACGGAAATTTTCACGGCGACACAGGAACGAGCCAATTGACGAAGTATCCGATAAGGGTAAAGTACGTTGATGAACGGATGGTAAAATCAATCGACCTGGCAATTCGGTGGAATTCATCATAAACGAATAATGATGTCTGTAAACGTAGGAGGAAGTTACCTGGATCCTGAGTAATTAATAGTGTATTAGCAGGCCCATGACCTACCGGGGCAGCTTTCAAGACAATACATCCTTGTCCATATTTAGACAGTGGAATGACGTCACAATGTTTGATATGTATAAAAGGCTGAAGGATTCCCCATAAAGACATTCCGAACAAACTTCAAACAGAAACCAGTTGATTTCCAAACACCTAAAGATATCATAAAGTGTTTATCTGAGGGCACAACACGTTCGGTTGATTACCTTTTACACAAATTGACTGAAGACTAACTCACCTGGGGCACGTTGGTTTATAGTTTCAATTAGTTGGGAGCCAACTGGGAGGGACCACAATATAACGGAGAGAAGGGTGTAGATAACACGCACTAGACAAGAGAAAGTTATCACGATGCTGAAGTGCTTAATTTTAACTGCAACTCTCTGCGCTATCGCATCGGCAGCTGATAGTACTATCGATCAAGATGCATACGTAAGTTATATAATCATTGAACACATTTGCCGTTTTTAACGTTATGCTTTTTGTAGACTATATCGTGTATATACACTGTGTATAGACCTATTACAAATAGGCGTGCTACTTGACAAAAGTCAATTTAAAGTCTTTGTATGCACATTCTATGGACTAATACTCTATATAATGTTTGCCAGTGTAGACCCACAGACCAATTGCTATGTTTAATCAGGTCAACGAGTTTGGAACATTAAGGTAATGATGATGATCATTAACATATACTAATAATGCTGGTGATCGTGATGATAACGGGGATGGTAATTCTGATAATAATGGGGATTACATGTATGGTCATTGGAGCGGAATTGAATAGTGTGTAGGCCTATTATATAACTATAATAGTTAAGATGTTTAATTCCTTCCAATTCCATGGTCCTGGGTTCAATTCCTGTCAAGGTAACATACTTTGTTATCACGACCAAAACAACTCCACTCCTAAGCCTCATTTTAAGTCCGCTATTTGGCATATGCTTGGACTTAACACAATTAATAACATTAATGAAATACATAAAAGATTGTAATAAAGACGATACGCCTATGCAAAAGAAAGGACATTGTCGTTATTTAACTAATCTCTAAGATTAGGAAATGGTTTTCGATTTTTTTTTTGTATAGACCTTTATTCTTTTTTTTTTTCAAGCAGTGAAAGTAGTTTGGCTATAGCACTGAAGAAGGCGTGGGTAACGGCATCCACTCCTTTTTGTCCGTGAATATTTCAAGGACTGCATCGCCTTATCATTGCTGAAAAGAAAATGGCGGATGCGCTATTTTAAAAGTACAAACACAAAGTTATAATATAGTTAGGCATATATTAAGGTCATTCACATATCTATACTCTAGTTAATCCAATTGATTTTTGCCACACCTCATAGCTCTGGTTGATTCACACTGTGAAAATTTAAAATTATTTTGATGAAGCGTACCGGTACGTTAACAATAATAGTTTCATAGATTAAAACTGTTTCTACATCATTATTTTGTGTACCTCAATCTAAATCATACTATAAATCCCTGTGTGCATGGCATTTAGATTACCCTATTTTTGATTTGTGAGAACAATATATATTATATATAAACTATACTGTATGTCCTATAAATATATATAAATATAGTAGGCATAAACCTATTGCTAATAGGCAAAGTGATATTTGCTAATTCATTGAATGGCTTGACAACGAATCATTGACGTCTTCCAGCAGTGTTACCTTTATCAAATAAACAAAAACAAAAAATTATAATTCCAAAGTAAAGCAATTCCAAGTACCAAATACTTTAGAAGGGTTTATGCATGTAGTTTTTAGTTGTCAGTACCTCTTTGTTATGATTTTTTAACCAAAAATTACTGGATGAAAACTCAATTATTTTATGCCGCAACAGTTAACGATTAGGCAAGTATAATGCATGACTTAATCAATCATCATAAAAAATGAACATTTAATTTGACACCGTTTCTTTGGGTATGGTAGCTTTTTATAACGAATACTTGAAAATCTTCCACTGCCCAATCACAGAGAATCATCTCTTTAATTTGATCAGTGGTCTTGATCGTAACAAAAATGTGTTTATCATCGAGCAGGACTGACACCTAGGGCCTGTACTGTACTGCACAGCGGTTGTTAATACCAGGGAGGCACTATATTAACATTATTGTTTAGTGAAAAGCTCAGTAAACCTAACAGCGAAGTAAATTAAATGATGGATAGAATGATATAAAATTAATTCGTTGAAACTGTTATGCCACAGGAAAGGTCGAGTATTAGAATTCCTTTCTGCAGGTTACCCTGTAGCCCAGTTTAAAGCTGATGTGTGGAAATAGTATGGTCATAGTGATGTAGGATCTTGGAACCCATGTCTGTGATTAGAAGTTATCGCAATGTTTAAAATGCCCCCTCGAAGATACATCGATATTCGGAAACGTGACGTAGTCCTGCGTCGCGTAAGATTTCACAATACTCGGCATTCAAGTGTGCTGACCTCCACAATTAATACAATAAAGTTGTACAATAATCATTAACGATAATTAATGACAAACTAAGGAGGTAATAATTAATCCTAAACGAGGATTAAATCGTCTGAAACAGGCCTCAGATCAGATACGGTCAATTAAAGACGTATAAGATCAAATAAGGAATTTAGTGTTTTTATTTATTTTTTTAAATTTTAACAATCTTTAATGAGTGTGGTCCATCCAGCCGAAGCTGATCATTAGGGACCCTCAATACACATAATAAAACAAAACAAAAGAGAGTATGAAACCAATTAATTAACAGTACAGTACTATAAATAACAACCTTTCAATTCTTAATTTACAAAATGAAAAATTTGGGTTAACAGGAAGCTTCACATAATTCTGTCCCGCTTTTGATGACACGTTTAAATGTTTCAGCATATCTATAAATGTTGGATTTTGACAATTAGTATTAAATGTGTTTGTTCGATATCATTTTGGGGGTTAGGATTAAAAAGAGTTAAAATGTATTAAAAAATATAATACATATATTACAATATAAGGACGTTTTATTCTTCAGAATTATCTACACCAGTTTGGATGGGTTGGAGAAGGACCTGATGGGTCACAGGCGGAACCAGCAGCTGTCAAAGAAGCCATCAAGTAAGTTTGCCGAACATTGTATATGTTCATATATGTGAATGAGAATAATTCGGGCATGTAATTCTCATAATAATTATTACACCAGGATGGCAGAGTCAAGTAACAATTTACGGTACCGGTATCTGCTTTGTGGTCTAGTTACGGCTAACCTCCAAAAGTGAATCATGCGGAAAATGAGAGGTAAAACGGGTTGTATAGTTCAATTTTGGGCTAAACGCCTGAATTAAACACAACGTTTTGAGCAATAGTTGGTTAGTCTGTCACTGTGTGCATGTAACTACTGGCCTATTCTCGTTTAGAGCGTAATCGGGCGTACTTCCATGGCGACGATGACGATTTCCGTAACTAGGGACATTTTTACTAACGGACAATACAATGATTCCCTTTCTGTACTCCCCTTGACTCATCTTACCATTTTGATTGTAGAGCATTTCAACGTTTTGCTGGCATCAAAGAAACTGGTAAGATTGACAAACGAACGGAAAGAATGATGGAAAAACCGCGTTGTGGAGTACCTGATGTGTTGGGATCTGGTCTGATGGATATGCCAATAGCAGAACTGAAGCTGAACACTTCCAATCCTTACGGAAACAATAGAGCAAGGAGGTACACTGCCGACGGTGAGAACCAATCGCTGTTTACAGTAGTCTACTTTATTGGGCTCAATACTAATAAAAAATAAGAATAATAATAATAATAATAATAATAATAATAATAATAATAATAATAATAATAATAATAATAATGATAATAATGACAGTCACAATTATAATAAAAAATGACAATATAAACATGAACAACAATAATTACAATAACAATAGCCATAATGGTATTCATTATGATGATGAAGATGATAATGATGATTATAATGATAATAATAGAGATAATACGGCAATAACAATAGTAATAAATAATAACGATAGTAAAATTAAGTAATAGGTCGATGAATGTAGTATATGAAAAGTGTGTACTTAACTACGGATCAAAACAGATAAAAAGACAAACACTAAGTGAGCAAAAGTAAGACCAATGTAAAAACTGAGGTTGGTAAAACATGTTGAAAATTACTGTTTGGACCTTGTCTTAAGCCTAGCAAATTTAAAATAAGAAATAAAATATATATTGTGAGGTTATTTTAATCGTCTTTCTGTAGGTACAAAATGGACGAAAAATGACTTAACCTACTACTACAATAACTACACACCGGACTTGTCAGGAGTTGCTCAAAAGGACGCCCTCCGTCGGGCATTCGATTTGTGGGCCGGAGTTACGCCACTCACCTTCACCGAGGTCAGCTCACTCCCAGCCGACATTATTATTGAGTTTGCCAGCGGGACACACAGTGACGGACCATGGGCTGCCTTTGATGGTCAAGGTAAACAATCGAATGAATCATTGACTGACTGACTGACTGGCTGGCTGACTGACTGATTGATTGGTACACACAAAAATGGCACTCTCGTATTTAAGATATTTACGTTTAATTATTTCCTAATTCGATATTTAGGAGTTTAATTTTTAAATAATTTTGTATTCATAGGAGGCACTTTGGCGCATGCGTATTTCCCTCAGAATGGTGATGCCCATTTTGATGAGGATGAGGACTGGACAGTTGGTGTAGATCGTGGCATTAATTTGTTCATCGTCGCAGCCCACGAGTTTGGACATAGCCTTGGACTTGGTCACTCCAGTGTCCAGGGTGCATTGATGTACCCCTGGTACCAAGGTTATGTGGCTGATTACCAACTTCCTAATGACGACATCAACGGAATTCAATACCTCTATGGTAAGTTGCAGGCGTATTATAACAATCTCACGATGTAAGCCTGTGGGCAAGCGTTGTTATATCCACTCTGACGCTCATTAAAAATGTACTGTAACAACTATACCTAGAACAACAGTTAGGATTGAAAAAATTATTATTATAATTTTTTTTTCATCGTAGGCATGCCTCGCGTCACTCGACCTCCGGAACCAAAACCAGACCCAAAAACAGACGGCCCAGCAAACGAAAAGCCCACAAAGAATACCTTGTGTAAAGATTCCGAGTTTGTTATCGATGATATGATTAGAGGTAATTTTTCTGAAGTTTCCATTAAAATAATAATCTATTCAGACAATAGGTGTCATTATTGGTCTGCTGCCGTATCCAACCATGGTCAATCCAACTAAGCTGTGCGATTAATGATTAGGCCTATGGTCAGCGAGAACGTCGTCAATATGTAAATGAACCTACGCTCTGTATCTCAACCAATCGTATAACGCAACTCTCTAGATTTTTCCATTTCCAAGAAGGATAAGCATGGTTCGAAATTGGCATGGTTAAACTAATTTTTATTTTTGTGGTAGGTCCTGATGGAAAGACGTACATGTTTATGGGCCGATATTACTACGAAATTGATGACGTGGGTATCAAAGTCGGTCCTAAGAAAATCTCTAAACTGTTTCCCGGCGTACCATCCAACTTCAATGCAGTGGTGACCTCTCCTTGGTCAAAAAGAACATACTTCTTCAAAGGTAAGCATAATGTTTGCTCTAAGAGCGGTTTCGCGTTGCTGTTCTGCTTCTCAATCTTGAGGTCGGAGGTTCAATCCCTCGCTGTGTATTTCGCTTGTGTCCTACGTTTGTCTCTCTCTACAGGCACAAGTACCTGGTAGGCTCAAATACAAAATGCGCTGATTTTTTAACTTCCAACTGATTTCAGCTGCAACTGGAATTCCCCCAGGGAGCCGAGTATGCGATGTGCTTGACCCAATGACCGGGTTAATCATGTGATTAAGCGCTTAGAGCCATGTTGGCTTTAAGCGCTATGAGGCCTAAGTCTAACATGTTATTATTATTATTATTATTATTATTATTATTATTATTATTATTATTATTATATGTGAATGTATAGGTTCGAGCGCAGTGTGACCAATTTCGATTTGATAACTATGGTTTTAAGCACACTAACAATAATAATTGTATTTATAATGGCCGGCATAATGTACTCTTGCGTCTATACATTCACATGTCATTATGTAGATTACCAATGAAAACATACCGTACTCTATCAAAATTAATCCTTTATTTTACAGGCGACAGATACTGGAGATTTTATAACTTCCAACTAGAATCTGGGTACCCAAAGAAGACAACTGATACCGGTATACCCAAGGGTCCAAACGCAGCGTTCGTTTGGGGCGGTAACGGCCAAATGTACATAGTCAAAGGCAACAAATATTACAACTTCAACGAACAAGAGCAAAAGGTAATCGGCGCTCCAAAGAAATTCAAGGCTTATTGGAAAGGTGTACCAACTCCAATTGATGGTGCGTTCCAGTGGAGGAACGGTAAGACGTATTTCTTCAAAGGGAGGAAATATTGGAGGTTTAATGATAGTGCACGTAAAGTCGATAAAGACTACCCAAAGAAAACCAAAACTGCCTGGTTTGGTTGTGGGAGTTCAGACGCGATCCCAAGTCGACTTCAACAGGCTGGGGCTAAGCAGGAATAATGGTTTAGCCTATTGATGCTTGGTATCAACCAAATATCATAACTTGGACATAACCTATTAATGTAACATTCCAGGATATAAGTGGCTGTCATTTCTAATGGTTTACCACTTTTTAAATGTTTGAATTTGCCATAAATTGTGCTGACTAAACATTTTTAATCATTTTTTCTGAGTATAATGAATAAATGAATGTGCATTATTATGTAATATACATTGTAAATTCATCACATACCTCAGTCTAAGTGCGTATTATCAAGCAAATACTATAGTTGGCTGGTAATTTTAAATACCGGTACCTTTGTAATATCTGATTTAAATATATTGTTTTATCTTTATATAAAGCAATTAATTAAAATAGAGTGTAAATAATGTAGTTTTGGGTGACCAGCATGTACAGTTTTTGTAGTTTTGAATCGGATATTGATAAATTAATAAATAAAAAACAAACCTATACTAAGATGTTTTGTTTTCATTTTATGGTAATTCACAAACACTTGATTACGTAACGGTTTTGATTATATAATGATGAGACAGTGCCACATCTAGGGGAGTGTGAGGGGGCGCACGCCCCCAATACTCTCTCTTCATGCCCCACCCCAATACTGGCACCTCAGTCCCCCATTGAAAATGTTCGAAGCAAAAAATGAAGCTCAAATGGTTAAAAATCACTTCAAATCCCCTTATTTTGCGAGCTATACCCCCTCACCTCTAATCATCGAGTCCCACCTTCGCCCCGCCTCTCCCCTCTCCTCTATCAGCGCCCCCCCCCATTTCAAGGCTTCTAGATATTCCACTGTGGTGATAGTGTAGACCTATGAAACTAAAGTGTTGATACTGATGATAACGTGGATATTAATAATGGCCATAAAGTGACAACAACGACGAACGATAATGACTTTATCTCTCAGAATTCAAGTTTCTTTTTTTTAATACGGTGTAACCAACAATAATATATAAAATAATTAACTAAAACGTCATTAATGGAATTAATAATAATAATAATAACAATAACAGGCCTAATGATATTATTAACAACAACAATAATAATAATAATAATATTTTATTATTATTATTACTATTATTAATAGTCATACCAACAGCAACAAGAAAACACTACTGTACAACAATTATTAATAAAACAGAAAATAATATGAACAACAATAATAAGCATATCCAACAAGACAGGACTCCCTTTAGAGATTTAATAATATTCAAAAGTACTGTATCCTCGGCTTACGTGCTGTTTAACGCACATATACAAGAGTGTAAAATCTGTCACCTTCAATACGATACAATTCCCAACAAATTCTAAGTGGGCCAGTTGGATTGAACGTCTGCAATCAGGGCCTTGGTTCGAGTCTCAGTTACGGCGACTTTTTCACTCATGCAGATCTCTTAACCGTTTTATAATTTATTTAGGTATATATTGTAAGGCATTGCACATCTAGATGTGTATAAGAGACAGCCTCTATCTCGTAACCCTTTCTTCCGTCCCTCCTTATCTTTCTTCTACCCACAAATTTTTCTTCCCCTCCTCCTCGTATCCCTTCCCTCCATGCACACCCCACCCCTTCCCCCCCCCCCCCCCCTTTCTTTTCCCTTGTTTGATCTATGGAGAATATTGTACCGCACAGTGTATTTATTTTACGAAATAAAGATGAAAATGAAAATGACAAATGAAATGGTTACGCATTTGGTATCGAATGTGGTTTTTCGTAGGATACAAAGTGCTCTGAATCAAAAAGGTTTATTGCCTGCTTGTAATTTTCATTTCATTTATTGTTAAATTACTTTTGATGCTACATTTTTATTTATTTTTTATGCCGTGTTACATTTTATATTTATATGAAAAACAATAGTACAAACCTATTTAAATAAACGGAAAGATGAAGATTCCGTTCCAGGTCTCATGATTGTGATATATGCCGGCGCCTTCCCATAGACTACTGAGAATTCGTGGCGAATTAAAATCTAGTAGGAAGCAATTCATTACAGGACACAGACCTAGTATTACCCGAACACTCTCCAATAAGACGGGTTCAAGTTAAATAGAGATCACAGCTGTGTGGGTTTAAACAGGGCTCTACATGCGGAACCAGGGGACAAACTTACCTCATGATGACATCATTCATAGTATGTGTCGGAAGGTCTCCTGTAGGGTCACTGCCGATGACCTTTACATCATCAGGAAGTCAGTGCTTCCTCTATGTCAATCAATCGAGTCAAGTGAACCTAGCAACGACATTTGAATATTATATAATCATGATTATTTAATTCATTGTAAACCGTTATTAACTTAATTATTTCCGATTAAATAATGTTTGTTTAGTAACGCTGAAACATAATGATAATATTGTTTGTTTATTTTTATTTCATTTGTAATGCACATCAAAACCTATGCAATAATAATGATCAAAGCAAGCAGAGGTCGCTGAACTGGCAAAGCCCATAAACAACTTCCTCCAAAACAGAAACTAATAAGCATTAACAAATTTAAGATTAACATAAAGTAAAAGTAAACTAAAAATGATGCCAAAATTCGATAAAATTTCAATTATACATTGCACATTTGAACATAATGTAATACAAGCAATTGAACAAAAAAAAAATATAAGCAAAACATACAACGATGTAAATACAATAGGCCATACACAAAAATAAGTCTGGACGGAGAAAAGAAATGAATGGTAACTATATCTAAGGAATGGACGACCACACGTTTCTCTTTAAATGTTTCAATTAGTAGGAATATTTATAAGTTACTAATTTCTCCCAATTAAGAAGTATACTCTGTATAATATAAAAATCATGAGATGTAGGCTTAACTGATCTATCGGCGCTAAATTTATTATTATTATTATTATTATTATTATTATTATTATTATTATTATTATTATTATTATTATTATTAGTCAATATTATTATTATTCTTATTATTATATTACGTTCATTATTATTATTATTATTCAATATTATTAGGCCTATTATTATATTACTTTCATTATTATTAGGCCTATTATTATTATTATTATTATTATTATTATAGTTTTATCTTTTGTGGGGTCATCCCACTTTTATTCATAATATTTCAATTGCCATCATACTATAACCTCAAATTAAAAAAAAATATCACATTTTTATATAATACACTGCACCGTATAATGCTTCTGTATAAAATAAATCAAATAAATCAGCATATTTCAAACAAGGTTGACCAATCAAGCATTATCTTATACTGTATGCAAAAATAATAACAAACACAGAGTTCAATACTTGACTCCGCCAACAACTCCCCTTGTTCAAATCAAAGGAGCAATGCATATTCAGTGGCAATAGTCCTCACTGAAAAAAAGCCACTAATTTATTTCACGTTAAATTTATCTTTGTCATTTTAAATTCGGTCCATTGCGTCAATCTTACAGGTATTATCTGATTTTGCTTTTCATACTGCATTTTGTTTTATAGTTGCGATTCATACTTAGCAAACGTCTTAACCAACTAGGCCACTAGACTCTGGGGCAAATTTAAATCAGATGGGGTGGGGGGACCTTTTTATCTTTACACTTTGCAAGACGTGTGTGAACAGCACTAGTTTTCCACACACACACACACACACACGCACACACACACACACACACACGCACGCGCGCGCGTATGACAAAGATAAATACACGGTAATGAAAACTTTAATACGTAAAATTATATCTTCAGAAACACTAATGTTTATTGCAACGAATATTTCGACTACTCCTGTAATCTTTGTCAACGCTTGACATAAAATTTCTTATTGCTTGTTATGAATCTAATTATATCAATAAATGTTATGATTACACCACAATCTACAAACTTTGAAATTTATTGTGAAATTCGTACAATAAAATCCTAGGAAACCGCTAAATATTTTTCAGCTTAGCACATATTTGATTTGTTGTTTATTTTATTTCCATTATAACCCTGGTAAACTTCAATTTTCTAAACAAACATTGAAAACTGCGTATTGCCTGAATCATAATATTATTCGGCGGGGAATACAATGAGTCACTTACTAAACACGAGCACCTCGTCTTGAAGAGGAAGCAATGATTGTTAGATTATTATTGCTCATTGTTTACTTTTTGAATTGGACTAGGGTATGACTGTTCCTTTGTTCATTTATGCCTTTAGGAGGATAACAATGAAGATGATGATGCAAAATTTTTAAAATTTGTACACACACGCAAAAAAAGTTTGTTTGTTTCTTGTTTGCAATCTTATTCTGTTGGTTGAAATCTGTCGAATTACCGTACGTTATTTTTAGCTATCTCAGATTATTTGTGTTAAATGTTTGAATAATGGGTTTTTATAAAGAAACAGACATTGTGTTGTTTGACTGCATGAGTGCATAATAATGATTATAAGTTATTGGAAAAACGATAGTATTAGACGAGGGATAATTTAATACCTTCCCTCTGGTTAACCGGAGAGGCGAGAAGACGATTCGTTGTGGTATGATGGGAACATGAAGCTGCGCCTCTGGTAGTAAAGGACCACATCCATAAGAGAATTCATGGAGCCGCCGGCCCACCCTTTCATATTTTAAACATTATGTCAAAAATGAAAAAAAAAAGTCAATATTTTGATATATTCAAATTCAATTCCTAGAGTGCCATTTCCGGCCATCTAGTGGTGTCATAATCATAAAATTTAAAACCTCAGCCCCAACCATGTTGGGGTTGAGGTAATCTGCACCCTCCATCTGTCAAAATCTCTTCCTTGACCCCTCTATATCGAATTTCTGGATCAGCCACTGCTACCTATGCGGAATTCAGTACGGTAAATAATAATAATAATAATAATATGTCGTTCTTATATAGCGCTTCATGCCTTTACAAAAAAAAAAAAAAAAAATGACGCCGCAGATTATTCTACTGTAACTATAGTATTATAGGTGTACATCAGAGGTTATTGCCATAATGTCATTCGTTTAAGAATTCCCCTCAAAACTTCTTAATCGATCTTAACTTGCTGCTTCAACAGGATTTAACAGGATATAAGCGGCACCACATTTCAGTCAAATAATCTATAAGCCTACAAACATTTACACCATTTGGCACCACACAATGCACTTTTTATTGGGTTTGGAATAGCCACTGCAGATCCGAAACCCAATTGGTGGTTAAAGGTCCTTGGAAATGCACTTTTACATAGAATCCTGTTGGTTAGTATAGACGTTTTAGTGTAAGTGTACGATGAGATGATAAAAATACACCACACTAATTTATATGTAGAACTGTACAATTTATTCCAAGTGAAAAGCGTATTTACAAAAACACTTGAGAAACAAGTTGATGATATATACAAACTGATAGAAAGCGAAAGTAATGTGTACGCAGGGAGGACAAACTGAGGAGTGTCTGTAAAAGTACAAATGTATGTGATATAGCATCACCTTTCATACCACCTGACCAAAGGATTAGTAATTGCCTGTCCTTGTCTAGTACCTGGGAAACTCATCAACATTCCCAAATGATGTGTGGTCACTTGAATTAAGGCAAATGACCTTAAGGTAAATGACCTTCCTAAGCTTGGTGTATAACCCATGAAGTTGGGATATTAGTTCAAAATGCAAGGTATTATTTACACACAGATCCTATATATAAATTTACAGATGGTAGTACTGCTACAACGTAATGTTCACCTAGCCAACACAATAGTATGGTCGATGAGGTTTAGTTCAGTGAAACGATTATGCAATGACCTTGTCAAAACGGGAATGACGGTTTTGTTGAAAGTAATGTAACTTAACAATCTCATTTCATTTTATTTATTTATTCGACCAACATGTACAATTACAATGACATTAAACAATTTAATTTAATTTCATTTATTTATTCGACCAACATGCACAATTACAATGACAATAAACAATCTCATTTCATTTTATTTATTTATTCGACCAACATGTACAATCACAATGACAATAAACAATTTCATTTCATTTCATTTTTTATTCAACCAGCATGTACAATTACAATGACAATTAGGCCTAAATACAATGTGTGAAAAACTTAGTGGTTAAAGGTCCTTGGAAACGTATGCACTTTTACATAGAATCCTGTTGGTTAGTATAGACGTAATGTTCACCTAGCCAACACAAACAGTATGGTCGTTGAGGTTTATAGTTCAGTGAAACGGTTATTCAATGACCTTGTCAAACGGGAATGACATTTTTGTTGAAAGTAATATGTAACTAATAACAATTTAATTTCATTTTATTTATTTATTCGACCAAAATGTACAATTACAATGATAATAAACAATTTCGTATCATTTATTTATTTGACCAACACGTACAATTACAATTATAATGTAAAACAATGTGAAAAAAAAATTGAAATACAATTTAGTGATTATAGGAGCGATTTCTTTAATATGAGCCAATAAATTATAGGCCTAATCTTTCATTATAAGATATTGTATCAACAACTATTAACAATGTCATGTAATTCATTCATGTAATTTGTTGACAAAAATCCCCGAAGTATACAGTGGCACATACGCTGAGAATGCCAGGCTTACTGCGTGTTAGTGTTGTAAAAGGGATTGCCACATATAATATGACAATGATGCACCATTGGTAATTATTGGCCCATCCTTCTAAATTAATAAAATGAATAATAAATTAAATACATCTACAGACATACGTTGTTTTATGACAAAGCTAGTGTCAAAATGATTAATATAAAAGTTTCTGTGAATCAATACAAAACTAGTTAATTCCATTGTTATTTTTAACGTATGCCATAAAAAGGTTCTGAATAAATCGTTCTATTTGTAGTTACAATAACAGTGCTTCATAAAGTCTTTTATCAACCCTTCCTTCCATCCATAGACCATCCATCCCTTAATCCACCTATCCCCATCCATCCATCTAAAAACCTACCTACCTATATTGTAATAGACATTGATTTCGGAGAATAATATTTTTGTTTTTAAAAGCCATACCGATGAGCTATTTATACGGCGATGTTTTCCTTCTATCGGAAGGTCATGAAACTTTACTCGATTAAAAGTCACGTTTTTTGACGTTTTTCTCAGAATCTAGCAGGGAAAATTAAATTTAACCACTGTTGCGTTATCATGATAACAAAGCAAATTAATACTGTCACTTATAGCAAATATGAGGTTTTGCAACATAATTTGATAATTTGAGGATATCTGAGTTTTACTTGAGTTAAGCTGTCACCACGAGTAATAATTTATGTTGTGTGGCCTAGTTTATAAGTTTGTAATTTTACAATTTGTTTACGTAGTTGCGTTGCTACTAGTCGTTTCTAGGAAGTCAGTCTGCCTTTTATGTGACGAAATTTCTTATATTTTAAATCTTTTTAGTTGTAATACCGCTTTGCATATCTTAATTTTAGTTGCTAGTTCATATTTTGTAATGATAACAATAGAGATTACTATAAAATCATAATAGGAAGTATTATTATAAGTGGGTTAATGTCAATTCGGAGTTACAATTAAAATTTAGACATTTATGTCGATGAGTACGATGATGAAGATGATAATAATGACGTCGACGACGACGACGACGACGATGATGATGGTGGTGGTGATGAAGACGATGATGATGGTGATGATGATGATGATGATGGTGATGAAGACGATGATGATGGTGATGATGGTAAGGAAGACGATGATTATGATGATGATGATGATGATGATAAGATGATGGTGATGATGATGAAGAAAAAGGAGAAGTTGATGATGATGATGATAAAGTTGATAATGATGATGATGTCTACGATAAGGTGATGATGATAGATTATGATGCCGATGTTGACGACAATCTTCTTTTCAATAATAATTATGATTGAAGTAAGAATTACGATGATGATTATGTTGATGATGATGACGTTGAAGATGATTACCATAATGGTGATAGAATTAATTGATGACAATTATGATAGGCCTGGCCATGATATAGGCCTACCTTGATGATGATATTATTGATGATGATGACGACGATGATGATGATGGTGATGGTGATGGTGATTATAATGATGAGGATTAAGACGAAGACGATGAGGAGGATTTGTATGATAATGATAATATTTATGATAGTGACAATAGTAATCAGGATGAGGACATTCAGAGAGGAGCAAATACGCTGGTACAGAGAGCCGTCACCGCATGGGACTGGCTATCTCTATTGCTGATGATGATAATGGAAATTAATTGCAGTGACAGACTGGAGAGAAATGTATCATTTGATAATTGGTGAATGACCTATTCTTTATAATAATGTAATTGGATATTTACTACCAAGTAAAAGCCGGGATGTGGCTAGCTACCCCGTGTTTCTCTCTCACAATGTTCCCTTCATCTCTTCGAGCAGGATATCCGTAGCAATTCGCTCAAACAACAAGAGACCAATCACAACATCTTAAGTAATCACTCAGAATAGATACTTTGAATCACGTGACAATCTTTAAGTAAACTATATAAATACAAGATTTTGTGATGGAAATGTCAATATTGAACGATTATTTAAGCATACGCCTGATTCATAACCCCTTGAACGTCATGGACAACGTTATTGTAATATTTATCACGGTACTGTTAACCATAAACTGTAGTGCTTTGCCGATAACATACGATTACGAAGCAACTGAAAACGTAAGTAACTTAGCTTCATCCATATAAGGTAAATGATCATTGGAAAACATAATATATATTATAATTTCACAACAACACCGATGCAACTTGTAGTGTGTTAGGCAGACGTAATGGAAATGCTCCGCTGGTGTATGTGGACATTACTATACCGTGTTATGTAGGCCTAGCCTGTTATGGTCGCATAAAATGTACTAATTTTAATTTAATAGGCTTTAAAAGTATAACACTCACGACAGTCTACAAATGTAGATCCGTTTACAATCTTAATGCAAAATGTTTGTTGCGACACACGTGAATTAATTATTGGTAATACTAATAGGCCTACTATAAACTTATTTATTAAAGAAAATGTTTTTATATTTGATTCAGCATCACGTAGAATATCTAAAGGAGTTCGGTTGGTTCGAGGAAGGAACTGATGACATAGATGATGATGTTGATCTTAGTTTAAAAATTGAGTAAGTGTTTTAGATTCAGATTATTTTACTGACATCACTAAACAAAATAGTATTACAGTCAAAATACAATTAAAGACAAAACGTGACAACAAAGAACAGAAAAAAGCATTAAAAAAAGAGAATGAACAAAAAAATGTTTTACCTATGATCCCATGTCCCTTATGAAGTTAGTTACGGCCAGTACCGGTATAAAATCATAGTCAGTAGATTTCATAACATTAATGAAATTTATATAGGCCTAATCGTTCATTGATTATTTGACCATTAATTTGTTATAATAAGGAGAATGAAGGGTCGTATTTACCTATAATTTTTTTTATGGAAAGTTTGTTTTGAATTGAAACACACAAAGAGTAACGAACGAGAGAGGATAACCAAAGACTCACTTTCAGTGGGGTCTTTTAGGTTGTAAACAAGCCAGCACCACACGGGACTCAATCCCCTACTCTTTTCCGACACATGAGCCATATTGCATATGGGACCAACGTCTTTACGAAACATTATTTTACCTTGCATTTCTGAGTTGCTGTAACACAAACAAACATTTCCAACTTTTTAATAGGCCTATGTATGTTTGGATAATAATATTAAAATCTACATGTTTTTTCAGGGAATTTCAAGAGTTTGCAGGATTAGAAGTGACGGGAACATTTGACGAACCGACCATTGAGAAAATGCACGCACCGAGATGCGGAGTTCCCGACGAAGTTACTGACCGGCGAAGACGGGACACGTTTCAAGGTATGTATATCCAGGGAACAGTAATTTAACTGTCCCTTGGTATGTCTTACAGTATATATGGTTCCTAACTTCAATAGTAAAATAGGTCTATGTGTTGGTAATAGGCCTACGACAAGTGTTTTAGTGCGCCCACCTGCGTCTTTACATAGGCCTATGTGAAATATGTGGCAAAGATTGTTATTTTTTGTTCGTGTTAATTCTTTTATGTTGTGAACGTGTTTTAAGAGAATTGAAACAAATAAAATAATATTAACCTTTTCAATCATAGGGCCTACACATTACAATGCAATAGGCTTGTTGGTATGTTGGTATTATTTTCGCATGTAAGCCTATATGGAATTATATATTAGTAATCTCATAAATTTAGTGGAATGTTGTTTTTTTTTATGTACTTGCTACAGGATCTATGTGGGAACAAACTAGTTTGACATATTATATCGGTAACTTGACCACAGACCTCGAATTCTCTCAAATCAAAGAAGGTATAGAATATGCAGTGAGACTTTGGTCCGACAACAGCGCCCTCATGTTTACAGAAGTTGATCGAAGAGCTGACGCTGACATCAAGTTCGATTTCGTAATGAAGAGACATGGAGATGAACGAGATTTCGATGGTCCAGGTCAGTTAGTTAATTGACATCCAACCTTTTGTAATAACATACTGACCGTCTGCGGGCGCGCTTAAAAATTTACAACAAATGTGGCTCCACGGAATTACAATTAACATAAGCATATTCGTAGTCTTACTTATCAATCAAACCTGAATCTTAAATTCCTTCTTTTAATGCTTAGAAGAATTGTTTAAAAGTTTTCATTTATTAATTCGTGAAATCAATACGTTATTTACAAAGGCAGTTTGCTTTTAAATTAGTTATCTTAAAAAAAATGTTTAAAATAAACAAAACAAAACAAAAAAACACTAGTCTGTCAAATATTATCAAAATTTAAAATCGACTCTATTAGCAAATGTTTTTTCTTTTGATGTTAAGGAAAAGTGTTAGCCCATGCCTTCTTTCCTAATGAAGAAAAACGAGGTCAAACCCACTTCGACGAGGATGAAACGTGGTTGGCGCTTACAGAACAAAACGACCCCATTGGAACAAAATACAATGTAATGATTGTTGCCGCCCATGAGATAGGTCATGTTCTGGGCTTAAAACATACTTCCGCAAACACCGATTCTTTAATGAAACCATGGCCAGTAGGATACCATGACAACTTCCATCTACCATCCGATGACGTCACAGCAATCCAAACATTATACGGTAAGTTTAGCATATGATTTATTTAGGCCTATCGATGAATTGATTTTGATTTAATATAATATTATGGGATATCCCACAAAAGTAAAATAAAAATGTTGGCATGTATCCAAGGGCCCTTTACTATAAATTACATCAACTTTCAATGTTAACGCCAATAAAAAAAAAAAGAATGAAAATACAACATTGGAAATAACTACAAATAGGACTGTCCAAATAAACAACGACAAAAAAAAAAAGATACATATTCGACTCTGGAACTCTACAGCATAGCAAAATTTTAAAATAATATTTAACATTATTGACTTCTCGTGCAGGGAGCAAATAAAATGGACGTCGGTTGTTGAATTTTGAAGTTTACCCCCACTGCAAAATTATCGACAAAATATTAACTGAGCCGCTAATCTTTTCTTTCAGGCAAGCCAGGTAACATGTTAAATGTTGACTTGTGTAGTCGGGGTACGAAGGTTCAGTTTGATGCAGTGCTTCAAGGTAGGACTGCTTCACATTTAACAAGTTGCCTAACGACTTTATATCAATATGATAAATATTATCTATAAACAAACACATATTTAATGCGCCTTTCCTATGTTATCGAATGTGACACATAAGCCAAGTTCAATGGTGATACCACTAACACTCATCTTTGCTTAAAAATAATTATTCAATCTGAATTGATAATGGTCTTCAAATTATATTTGATTTTATTTAGGCCTAAAATGATAAAAGTAATACAAAAATAATAATATTAATGATGAGTACGAGAATGATCATAAAGATCATGATAATAATAGTAATGATAAAGGAATACGATAGTATAATAAATACTCCAAGTATCGAAATGCACACCATCGTGTCGGGATTCAATATTTCGACATTAGTTATGTCATCATCAGGAATGATTCCTGATGATGACATAATTAATGTCGAAATATTGAAATATTGAATCCCGACACGATGGCGTGCATTTTGATACTTGGAGTATGTATTATACTATCTTATCTGAGATTAATCAGTGGACCTTTCGGATAAAGGGATACAGTAATAATAAAGGAAATGGGAATGATATTGATAATTATGAGGTTGATTATGATGATGATGAGGATGATGATGATAACGATAATGGGAATGCTACGGACAACGACAATGATAATTATATTGCTATTAATATTAATACTAATATTTGTTTAATTATTCGCTCAACACAGACATATATTTTTCAAATTGTGATCAATGTTTTGTTTTCATTTGTACAAAGGACCACAACAAAGGACGCTATTTTTCTCAGATATTTACTACTGGGAAATAATCTCAACGGGCATCAAACAAGGGCACCCCAAGTTTCTCTTCGATCTTTTTCCTTCTCATATGGCTGAACAGCTCGCTGGAATGGACGCCATTGTCATGTCATCGAAAACTCACAAAATATACGTTTTCAAAGGTATGTATTAGGTCTATAGCTTTGAAAAATGGTAACGATAGTTGAAAAATTATCCCTTCTATATTATTAATCTATGACAAACCCATCCACGTATATAGACAAAATTGCTGCTTTAGATTATTGAACGACATTAAGAAGTATCGGTGATGATGATAATAATGATAATGATGATGATGATGAATACAAAAATAATAAACAATAAGAGATGTTCGAAAGGGGGATAAGGTGGGGGGGGGGGCTGATCGAGAGACAACACTACTCATGGGGGTCCAGGGGCATGACCCGCAAAATTTGTGTTTTCTAGACGCCCAGAAATAACCTCTGAGGTTTACACTTTCCAAAAATGGGGGGAGGAGAAAGGGGCTCGTCTCCCCCTAAATCCGCCCTGTTGTTTTATAGCTAAGGATGTTTACATTTTCAAGAATGGTCTCTCCTAAATGTTAAATTTTTTTCATTTGTAGGCGATGTCTTTTGGCGGTTTGACAGCAACTTTGAGCTTGACGCAAATTACCCAAAACTGATTATAGAAACCAGATTGCCAGATCACGTAGACGCTGCATTTGAAAAAGACGGTCAAATCTATATTGTCAGGAAAAAGAAGGTCTTCCTATTCGATGAAGAGGAACAAAAGTCCTCCCAAGTTAGGAAACTGAAGAATGTATTTACTGGTGTTCCAAAGGGACTTAATGCAGCTCTGACTTGGACAAACGGCCACTCTTATTTCTTCAAGAAAGATAAATACTATAAATTCGACGAAGATCTAGGAAAGGTAGTAGACGGATACCCAAAACCAATAAGAGGATATTGGTTTTGCTTGTAGAAAGTGAGCCTCGTATCATGTATCATGTAAGCTAGATCTAACTTCGTTGCGCTGTACCGTACCACATTTAGTATGACTGCATTGTTATAACATTAATATGTGTGTGTATTTACCGGTACCTTAATATGCATTGTGAAATAGCTTTCTTTTTCTGTGTATGTAATGACTAGATGCGTTCTTGTGAAAGCATCGTTGTGAGATTAGTATGCCTTTCGTGTGTATGTAGACTTGTTTGTTCGAATGCATTGAAAGAATAGTTAATCTGTCGTACAGTAGGGGCCTATTGTAATGACTAGATGTGTTCGTGTAAATGCATTAGTTTTTTTTTCTCGTTATGTAATGACTAGATGCGTTCGTGTAAGGCATCGTTGTGATCCGACTATGTAAGTGTGTAAATATAAATTAATTGATAGGATAGGCCTATTGCTTTACTATAAACTTGAGCGGGTTAGGTGTAATTGTGTGTGAATTTGTTTTACAGTGTAGGGGGAGGGAGGAAGCGGGGATTTATATATGTGATCATGTGTATTTACTTTTAAATTAGTGCCATTGAAAGTAGTATTTATGTGAAGTGATTATTTATTGCCGAATATTTATCCAACGAATTATTTATATTAACGGAATTATTTATAAATATTTATAACTTAATTGCTAATTCAATACCTATTAAACGAAATTGATTTGCAGTCTATATAATAGCGTAATGTCAATATGTTGTGAGAGACGTTCTATGGGGAATGTGATGTTATGGGGTGTTTTTAAACAATTTTTGAATTATTTTGTTGAACAAATTATATGGTATATGGTAGACTTGACCATGAAGAATCCAATAAGCCTAAGTTCTAAGCTTGAAATTTCGTACGGTAGTAGTAAAAACTGGTGTAACAGATAAAATAAGCGCTTTATTCAAAATTATTAATGCAGTTATTAATAAGTATTTCATGTTGTGTCTGCCTAGAAATTTAAGAAAATGTCTAAATACATTACCGGTACAATCATCACAAGAGAAATAATATGATAAGCTGGTGGACGATGAGAAGGTAACATGTTGGAGCGGGTGTTCTCACATACAGAAGAATTATAGTGGTTGAAGGGAGTGTGGATGAGGTTAAGATGGGTTGGGGATGTTTCCTGGCTAAGAGGGAGTCATTAGTGTTGGGTAGGGAAGTGTGATATGTCATGTTTGAGGTTTTTGGCAAGGTTGTTGAATTGTGGATTATGATCAATATCCTAACAGTCGAATATTTATTATTATTAGACCGTATTGCTTATCAACGTCCCCAAAATATCAAACACTTTTCACCTCATTTTGAACATTCATACACTGAAGCAGGCAGCAGGTTTTGTCAATTATTTTGCTAAATTAATATACAACAATTTGTTTTTACAACTGAAATCTATCATCTAGGCATACGTGGAACATTGAATATATCGAATATAATAAGAGTCTATATATATAGGCCCTATATATATATATATATATATAT